ATTTATTTGTTTATTAATTTATTTATTTTTATAAAAGGTTAAATAAAGTAAAATATTTGTGGTAACTTTTGACTGTGTAACTTTACAAACAGCACCCCATATATCCATAAAACAAACCCAGTTTTATGAGCCTTATTAAGGAAAACTGACTTTGTCGCGACGAGTCCAGCTGTTTTTCCTTGCTTCTTGGCAGCGTCATAAATTCTCCTGGCTGCAGCTCTTTCCTTCACCTGGGCCACGTACTCCTTCCTGCTGGAGGTGCTGATGAGACGGAGGAAAGAGGAGGAAGAAGTGACTCTCTGTAGGACTTACAGTGGCCAGATTCTGTTACAGTTATTGAGCCACACTTACTCTAACATCACCTCCGGTGTTTCTGGTGCAGTTATGAAGCTGCCTCATAAATAAGCATCGTGTTTGTTTACAACTGGAGGGGGGATTATGAACTGACTGAATGGAAAAGTGTCCTTTCCCTCTGAAAACAGCATTAATGAAAAGTGATTTTATAGGCCGATGACGCCCTGCTGTGTGTCTGATCCCAACCAGAACCAGGGATTTAGTGCACGTCCTAAACGTTCCTGACCCTCATGTTACGTGATGAGCTGCTAATTTAAGTCCCTGCCAAATATTTCCAAATGAAAATAAGGTGTAGCTAAAATAACCCTGACTAGCAGGCCTTGTTTGAGTCACAGAGTAGAAAAGCCTGAGAGTGTAGAGTGGGAAAACGAGGTGTCCAGTATTTACCGAAGGAAACGACTGAACATCAGTGAGGTACACACAGAACACAGAGCTCTCAGTTTCACACACAGAAATGCTCAAGAATGAGCTCAACATGTCGCCACAACTATTCCCCCCTGAGGGTTTCAGTTGTTGTTTCCTGACTGTGTGAAAATATTCATGCATGATGGGGAAAAGCAGCGTACGCTCCAAACTCACACACATCCAAAACATGGAGCCCATACACAACTGTGTGCTGATATAGGAGGTATGAGAGTGTGTAACTTGTGTGAGTTTCTGGCTCTCAGGTACAAAGCCTGGTATTCACAGACCCTCAGGTCCCCCTCCTTCTGACCTGCTTCTGCTCCCGAACCCAGCACCGACAACACCATCCTGTTTGTTTGATTTATATTTAGCAGTTTTAAAAAAGCACAGCTCAGTAATTAGATTATACATCACTGCTTCACTGGAACTGCAGTTTTTCTTCCACACTTACTGAAAGTTTCACGTTTGGTTATTGCTCACTGAAACAAACCCTTCTACTGATTACAGTTTCTGTCACTATAAGAAGAAAACTTTATTAGCAGCATGAAATAAACTTTTTCTTAGAGTTTGAACAGTTTTGACCTGATTCAGCACTTTGAACTTTTACCACATAAAAATCACACTAAGTGATTTTCTTTCTGTAAGAAACCAACAGGAAGTAGCACATAAATGTGAAATGAGAGGGAAATGATTTCGTTTTGAACAATTCTTTACGAACAAAACTCTGAGACGTGTGGCCAGTCCCTGTGTTTTCTAGAAGCACAGCTGCAGCTCAGTCAGACTGAACAGAGATCATCTTTGAACAGACTTCTAACACATGAAGAAGATCTGATCTGAACCAGGGGCATGACCAAGCCCCACCCAGTCAAATATCGACATTTTCTATTTTTGACATTGGTTGTTGCCTCTGCCAAGAGCGAGGTAATGTTTTCGGTCGCATATGTCTCTGTCTGTCTGTCTGTCTGTCTGTCTGTCTGTCTGTCTGTCTGTCTGTCTGTCTGTCTGTCTGTCTGTCTGTCTGTCTGTCTGTCTGTCTGT